CAAATTCTTCAACTAGACTTTCACTAACAATACTCTAGGCCAAATCAAGATTCTACACCTTTTTTACTATAACATGCACTAATACTTTTGAACGAGTAAAACTCATGAAGCTAAACATGCATATAACAAAGCATAGTAATTAATAAGTTGGAATATAAATAATCTTACTGCTTGATTTAATGAGAGAGAGGGAGAGCTTACCAACATGAGAGCCAGGGTGATCTATGGCTATATGTTCGTAGACATTTTTCCAATTGGGTTTGGCGAAGTTGGTCATGACATTTGTCCCAGAGACAATGTCCATGCCATACTTGGCATGGTTTAGAGACTGAAGCATATGTATAAACGCGGAACGAACATCTCCTTTTTCGTAAATGCTAGTGCAATAGTTACGTAGTTCTATGACATTACTTGTGTCCCGTTCAACAATCTCGTTCATGATGTTCTTGAACCAACTAAATGAGCCTTGCTCTTTTGTTAACCAGTAGAAGTAAGCCTTTCGCGTCTTGAAACTCTCTTTCTTACCTTGTTGTTGTGTTCCCTTCTCTATTCGGTTGAGTTGTTCATGTTCCTTGGCCTCGTTATTGTTGTTAATGTCCTTGATAATGCTGATCATTGGGGTGGCTCCAATCCCAAGGCCGACCAAAAGAACCACCTCGTACTTCTTGTAATCTTGTGCCGGTGCACCGTACGGACCATCAATCATAATTTTGGGCAAACTGTAGAAGAAGCTGGTTCATAATTGCCATTTCAAAGTTAACAACATTACCAATAATAAACAATGATATATATAAATACATTACAAACTAATTAGAAGATACTTACTCGGGATTATTTGCACCATGATACATGTCTATGAGCTGATACATAACCCAACATGTTACTCAAAAACCATGGTTCTTCTTAACATATACAATTTGGAGAGGTTTAGAAGTAAAACAATTAAGACCTCGGAGAAAGCTTTTTGGACAGCCTCTGTCCAATCTCCCACTGATTTTATATGAACACTGAGATAATCGTCTTGTGGTGCAGAAGTTATTGAAAAGGGATGCCTACAAAGATATATATAAGCACATGAATTGATATCGAATCGAGTTTAAGGTTCTTGACTCTTAAGAGTGTTTTGTGTGTGTCCGTACCACTCAAATTGTGAGACGATGGGCAATTTACAAGTAAGTATTGACCACTTTTGTATTTGAAGTTGCTTGGTCGTGACATGATCAAATTTAACACGTTTTCAGGAAAAACTTCGACTTTACGAATTGTTACCCTGCTAGATCTGAATGCTCGTATCAATCTTTCGCATGCATAGAGAGCTTACATACTGTGTTTCCGCGTGCAAGCACTCAAGACTCTCAATCTGTTTTAAATTCACCAAACAAAATGTTGATGGGAGAAACAATATTCGAAAAAAAAAAATATCGGTTTCTCGGTTTATCATCATCAAGAAAAGCTTACCGTGATGTATCCAATATTATCTGGATCGAGCTCTTCCATTATCAATGCTACATATTCATCTCTCTGCCTTTGGATGTTTGACAAATTGTTGACAGATGAACTAAGATTGATGATCTGCGAAACACAAAAAAAAATGAAACTTACACAAAGTATTAGTATATGAAAATGTTATATTTTAAAGAATGAAATTTTTGAAACAATCAAAAACTAAACACTTTTACTTCTCTAACTTCGTCTTCGGTTATTCTACCATTAGAGTCTTTATCCAACCTACATTCATTACCAAAACTTGTAGTGATACAAAGAAATATATAACGAATAATATCAAAATGGGTAATGATTAAAATCTTTACATGTCAACGAACGTCTTAAGCCTCGAATGGAAGCTTTTATCACTTATTTGTTCCCAGAATTCCATTAACTGTCTCTTATCGATCATATCCGTTGTTATATGCCTTTTTTTTAGCTAATGAGTCAAACAATGCCATTGCAAAGTCTTCTGATGATCCCAACCCTATAATCACAATATTTAGATCCTCATCAAATTTTTGGTTCAACTCGTCGAATTTCTACAATTTTTGTGTGGAGTTTTGGGTCTAAACCCATACATCTCTCCATCAGAACCGAAATCCCTCCCAAACAAGGTTCGAACCCTGGTCGGTCAACAACCTGTAAGACTACCTATATTTGGTAATTTATACAAATTTTACCTATGCATTCTCCAAATTTTGACCTTGGCAATAATTCGTCGGTAGTGGCCGTGATCTCAACAAACCGCTCTTCCACGGCGGTCCAGCCAGCGTCACGGTCAGCCTTACTAGTAAACTTGAGCCCTTTCAAGGCCTGGTCGGGCGTTGACTTCAACCGGTTCTAGAGACCGATGTTAATCGCTTCATGCGACCATTCCTTTTGTCCTTTCCGGTCGATCCGCCATCCGTCGAGTTCTCAATGTTTTCCATCAATGGCGATGATCCGCTCACCGAAACTACCTCGCTGCTCTTCTCTGTATCCGAGTTCTAGTCCATTACTTCAAAGCTCACTCTTCTCTCCATAGATTCAATAAAAGAAACAAAATGATGATCAAAACCGAATAATTTATTTCTTGTATCTCAAGTTTATTCTTACTCCTTATAAAAATTTTCTTCCTCTTATATCTAAATGTAATATTAGACAACATGAAATTTTCGAACATACAAATTCAAAGAAATAAGAGAGACGTGAAACGACTTGGCCACACTTATTTTTCGTCAACTCTTCATTGATTAATTAAAGACCGAATATCAAAACTAGTCAATGATTAAAATGTGAGTTTTTATAACTCTTGCAAATATGATTGTCTAATCTTATCAGTAACTTGTTATTC